ATGGAAATACAAAAGTAAAGTTTGTTGCCAACTGTAGGCTCCTTTTCAGGGGCGTTTTTTTAACAGACGCCGACAGATATTGACGGACGAAAACTCGGAATAAGATAGTCCAAGGTCAGCTCTTTCCGAATATGTAAACCATTTATTGAATTTGCGTCTGGTAACGGCTGCACAAGGGCCGTAAAGTTTGGTAATTTTAAGGTAAATTGAATGCAGCGCGACGTTTCTTATTTTTTCTTGCTCTTATTATCAACATATCGGCGGACGAAAACTCGGTTTAAGATAGAGAAAAGACCAAGCTATCCAACCGTGTGCTTAGTTTTTCGCTATCTTTCTAAATAACAAAGATATGGGCCTTAGAAGTAGATGGAAATATAAAGAAAAAAGTTTGTTGCTGGGCGATTTGTTGCTATCGTCTCGCCGGTTAGTTTATATGTATAATTTTCACGAAGAACGCGCACCGGGAAAATACGCTATTTTAACGGAAGTACTTAGAATTTCGCTTTAAAATTTTGCTATCATATTCTTAAGATGTTCAGGCAACTTTTTATGGCAAAAAAAATTTTGAGTTTTTTGACTGTTCTAAATGAATTTCCCCCCTTAAAACATACCGTTGGAATGTTTATTGTATCAAAACAACTTGGTTCATTATTCCAAGAATCAATATACGCAATTAAGTTATCCTTATCTTTCATGGTATCCGGATCTTCAAGTTTTCCACAAAGACCTACAACCTTTAATTACATCTTTTAATAATTTATTAACATAAAAGAATTAGATGAAAATACTTTTTCAATGTTGTATTTATTTAAGTTCTCTATTCGACATGTTTCGAGGATCCAGTCCTCATCGTCAATTCGTCAATTCGAAAATTCGTCAATTCGTCAATTTTTGACGAAAATTGACGAATTTTCCTGAAGATGAGGACTGGATCCTCGAAACATGTCGAATAGAGAACTTAAATAAATATAACATTGAAAAAGTATAGAAAAAAGTATTTTCATCTAAATCAACACAAAAACCAAAAACAATTATTATAAAAGAATTAAGTCAACTTACATTTTCGATATTTTCAGGTTTGAATTTTAAATGATACCCTTCTTTGGTCCATATAATTTGAATCCCAATTGAGTCCAAATCGACGATTTTCGTTGATTGTAAATCGATTTCATTATTAAAAGTAGCCGCATTTTTTTTTATTTCGATTTCAACGTTGTTATTTTCATCATCGGTGTAAGACATAAAGACTTCACCAGACTAAGAAGAATTTAAATTAGAATTTAAGTAATATTTGATTAAAATTATTTTACCTTTATGTTTATTGAATACGGTTTTTTATTAAATTCCCCATTAGCTAATACAAACTCGCAGCCGCTATTAAATGATATTATTTTTCCATCAAAATTTCGAATGCTATCACCGAAGATACTACATTTTTCAACAGCGTTTTCTTTTTTCGTGCATTCCCATTTATTCGATTTGCAAATACTGAAAATTATGTTTGTATAAAAATTTTTTTTATTATTTTCTTTTTTTACCATTTTCCATTAAAAATTTTTCGTTCTGCTAAATCATCGTAGCTTCTTCCGTTAAAGAAACAAGGACAATTTTGTGGTAACACACAACTGTTGGATTTTGTGTCTAACACGAAACCTTCTTCACATTCACAACCTTCTTCGCATTTATTATTAGTTGTGTCATCTTGCGATTTATCCATATTCTTCAAAAAAAAAAGGAATGTTATTACAAAAAAATATGATTTTTTTATTTTTATTAACCTTGCATGTTAAAGAATTCGATGATTTGCATGGTGTATATACAGAATTCTTGATATCTTTACATTTAGCTTTTAAATCGTCGATGGAGTTGATGTTTTTATTGTTTGGATCATTATTAGGTGATTGAATCCATTTAGCTTTTGTACATGTCCTATAAAAAATTAAATAAATAAGTCAAAAACTGAAAAGTTTCTGATTTAGTAAATTTAAGTACTTAATAAATTTATCTTCAGTAATTTTGTATCCCTTTGGAAAATATTTCCCATTCAATTTACATTTGCAGTTTTCTATTTCGACACATTTATTATTTTCATCTAACGTTTTTCCTTCTGGACAACCACAACCCTCCAAACATTGCTTTTGACAGGTTGGATTTACCGCAATATAATCGCAACTGCTTTCGCAAGGATTTAGACAATAATTGTAGACCAACCCTGCGGGGCATTTTATTTCACAAGCGGGAACTTGTTTTCTCCATTGGTTTGATTTATTTAAACAACGACCTGCGTGAGCTGCTATAATTTCGCAGGCGCATTTATCCCCCTAAAGACTCAAATGAAATATTTTATTATATAGGATAAGTTTTAAAATTTACCAAATCATCCGCATGACAACAATCGTAAACGCATGAATCATACGATTCTTTTGAATTGTGGTCTTTACAACCAGAAAATAAGTTTCCGTTAAGAATAGAACAAGCTTTTTCTGCATCCCGTTTATGTGCAGGATTATTTTGGCACGGATCTGGAATAGGATCTGTGTTCTCTTCTTCGCAACTTCCTTCAACTTTCCATGAATGTCCGAATACATTTGGATCATCAACTAAATCTCCGTTTGGTAATACAAAATCATCTTTTGGATCTTTATTAAAATTGCCCATTAAACCCTAAATAAAAATTTTATTAAATTGCTTTAAAAAAGGGGTTTCTTATCATACCTGCAAATAACCTCGCATTGTTGTTGGTGCGCGAATTTTAGCCGTAGTTTGACCATCCCAATGAACTTGAAGGTAATTAGGTAATTCAACTAAAAAGATTATTAATTAATCAATAATTTAATAATAAAATCATTTTAATTGTTAATACCAATTATTTTTGAACCCGTTGGTTTACTAACAGTTATATTTGACTCTTTATGCGGGAATTTCGTCAAAGGTTTATTATTAAAGGTTACCACCAAATTCGGTTTTAATGAAACTACGTTATCTCCATGATGTACTTCTACCATTTTCGTCCAGGATGGAAGAGGAGATTTAAAATCTTTCTGTAAATAAAAAAAATTTTTTACATCGTTTTAATTAAATAAGGTTATTTTAACATACCACAAACTGTCCGTTCTGCCAAACGTAATGGTCAGCTGTGATAAAGAAGTCGAGTCCTTTCACTAAATAATAAACACATTTTCCCATAAAATCAAAACGTTTTCCATCGAAAGTGGTGTAATGGGGATCTCCCGTAACGTCTGCTTCACCAAAACACATCTCCTACAAGATTAATATTTTAATAATAACTTGTTAATATCTGCTTTTAATTAAATTTTTGAAAATTTAAACTTTATACCGTATTTTCTCGAATCTAATCCGCACCCTTTTTACAAATTTTATATGCTCTAAAATCAAATGCGGATTACAATCGAGTGCGGATTAGATTCGCAGTCGTATAGTTGCGATTTGGAAAATAGTAAAATAAAATCGCATTATAACAATAACGCTGTTAAGGGTTTTAGAACGATATTTACATTTTTATGTATCATTTTCTGCCCATATTTCGTCATCTTCGGATCTGTCCAAAGCAGTGGTTATACAAAACTTCTTAAATAACGTTATAATTGTTTTCAGGAATCGTTTTCCATGTGTGTTCCTGGTCTACGACTCCATACTTGTCTTAACCATTCCATCATCAGCTTTTCCATTATTCATCCTTTTATTGTGCCCTAACTAAGACGTCATTCGGGAAGTCTTTCGGATTTCAGAATGGTTTTTTTCTCAATATTAATAATGACAGCAATTTTTCCCCAATTTTGTCACTTGTTGCTGCTAGCATACTAATGTTATGCACAATTTTTCGCAACCACTCGTTTCTAAGGAAATTGGGAGGCATATCCAGATATAGTGCCATTTCGTCGGCATTCACTGTTTGAGACAAATTGAAATTTTTTTGAAAATCATTAGGAGCTTTTGGGAAATTGTAGTTTGTCCAACCTTTGCTAGTATTAAAATTACAGACAGAGTAATCGAATTACAATTAATGGACTATGTTACGGAATACAACCTTTTACCGCCTACATAGTCAGGTTTTAGAAAGCATTATGGCTGTAATACAGCTCTATCGAATATTGTGGACGATGTCATACGAAGCACAGACCAAGGAAAATACACTTTGATGTGTCTCTTAAATTATTCAAAGGCTTTTGATACTATCAATCATGCCAAGCTTCGCTACATTGGGTTTGATGATCTTGCATCGGGGTTAGTTACTTGCACAGTTACTTGACGGGCAGAATGCAGTGCGTGAAGGTGAATGGTTGCGTTTCATCGTTTCTTTCGACAACGTCCGGTGTTCCTCGGGGTTCAATTTTGGGTCCACTGCTATACTCACTTTACACATCGCATTTTAACAGATACATAAAAAGTTGTAATCATCATTTCTACGCGGATGACACCCAGTTATATATATCTTTTCTGCCATCGGATGTCGATGATAGGCGTCACTGCCTTTGTCTTAAAGCTGCTAAAACAGAGCTGATTTTATTTGGGCCAAGAAAGGTGATAAGTGACAATTCTGTTCGGGATCGGGTCAAGATAGTTGTCAACAATCAAGTATTGCCGCTGAAGGATTGTGTGAAAAACTTGGGTGTCTTATTGGACGAAAATTTAAACTTTAATAAACACATCAATAAGTGCACTGCTTCCGCGTATGCTGCTCTTAAGCTGATTTATGGCGGTCGGTCGTTCCTCAATCGTAGAACAAGGGTGCTTTTGTGCGAGGCCTTGGTGTTAGCGCATTTTAATTATTGTGATACATTGTATGATCAGTGTATTTCGTATAGTAATACGAAAAAAATTCAGAAAATTCAAAATTCTTGCTTGCGCTTGATATTTGGGTTACGGGGGCGTCAGCATGTTTCGCACAAATTAAAGGATTTGAGTTGGCTCAACATGAAAAA